GAAAATGTAACATCTGTTGAGTTGAGGAATATTTCTGGATAAAGGTAAAAGGTTGATTGCTTGTGAGACGAGATTGTTTTCAAGACATTAAAGCCATTGAGGATTCCATGGGAAAATGTAAACGTGAGCCCTCAAGTAAGGCTATGTTTCAAACAGATGAAACATACAGGTCACTGTGTGTCTCCACCCTTTATAATACAGTGTATTTATCGCCGTTGTTGTGTTAAGGTAATACTGTCATTACGGCCACACCCGGCCTGGTATACACTAATCTTGTGTCTGGCTGGACTTTACACAGGCTTTACAGTAAAAGACAAGTTATGGAGCCTAAAATGAATTCAGGAATGGTTAAAAACCAAGATTCAGTGAAGTAGAAAAGCTCCTTGACTCACAGACTCTTTTAAAAGACAATGTAGTATAAGCTAATGAACCGAAATGCCAAAATAGTGCCTAATGAAACTCATTATTAGTCTTTTTGTGTGTTTGTCATCATTTAGTCACCAAATACAGTATGTATGTCCTATAATGCTTTTTCTTCTGTGGAACACAAAAGTTCAGCAGAATTTCTAAGCTGCTGTTCTTGCAGGATAATTGGTTGTGAATGGGCTCTTTAAAAGACAAAAAAATACTATAAAAGTACTATAAGAGTTGCTTATATGATTCTTACTCTGTATTCCAATGTTCGTTTATGCTCTTAATTTATCTTGACAGAGTCCATCCACATTTACTTTCATTTATGGAAATGAGCAGCATGAACATTTTTCTAAACTTCTCTTTTTGTGTTCCACAGAAGAAAGTAAGTCATACAGGTTTGGAATGACGTGAGGGTGGGTAAATGATGACAGAACTTGCATTTTCAGATGAATTATTCCTTTAAGGAGCATTATGAATGGCCAGTTTCAAAGCTGCAACTGAAACAGTGGAAATGTTTAGGTAGTATCCCAGAAGGTTTTGCTCCGAGTTGGAAAGAAAACCAGAAAATGGTGGCTGCCATGGCAATTTGGGCAATAGTCACACACAGTAAAAGCTGTGATACCTGTTCTTCAAATGATCATTCAGACACAGACCAAACTGGCACAGTCAAAAGCTTAATGGAAAGGTTCAGACATGTGATGAGTGAGGCATAAACAGGTTTATGTTTAGAAATAATGTAATGCGAGACTATCCACAGTTTCTCACACACACACACACACACATATAAGCGCACACCTCTCTAAATACATAAATTAGATCTAAATTAGTTCCTCACTACTTACTGTAAATCTCAAACGGAAGAAGAAACTGTTTACATGATTATCATGTTTTCTTCATCATAAATACTGAGGAAAGGATCAATGTTCAAAGCAGTTTAAAAGCCAACTTTTACAATGTTAATAATCAACCAGAAACACCAGTGCAAATACAATGTTTAGGAATTTTCCCTGTCCAACACTTGACATACTTTTATAAATATATAGTACTGTTCAAAAGATTGCCGTCGGTAAGAAATTCATGCTTTTATCTGCAAGGATGCATTAAGTTGATGATTTTGATATTTTCTATCAAATGTTTATGAAATTGAAATTTTCTATACTGTTTATGAAATTGATAAACAGTAAAGACATTTATAATGTTACAAAAGATTTCTGTTTTAAATAAATGCTTTATATTGCCTTAAACTTTATATTCATCAAAGAAACATGAGAAAAAACATTCATAGTAATAAGAAATAATTATTGAGCAGCAAATCAGCATATCAAAATGATTTCTGAAGGATCATGTGGCACTGAAGAAAAATTCAGCTTTGCCATCACAGGAATAAATTACATTTTAAAATATTTTCAAATAGAAAACAGCAATTTTAAGTTGTAATACCGATTTTACTGTATTTTTGATTGAAGAAATGCAGCTTTGATGAGCATAAAAGACTTAACATTAAAACATCTTACAGACCTCAAACTTTTGAATGGTAGTGTATATTTAAAAAAAAAAAAGTATGTCAAGAATATGCTTTCCTGTAAGAAATAAAAATAACAAACAAGCTTTTCCTTTCAGAACATCTCAACATCTCAAATTGTGATCAGTTTAGGAAAGGTACCAAATGTAAAAATAAATTCAAATGATAAAAATTCAAACATTTCAATATGAACCTAAATGTTTCTCTTTCAAAATCTTACAAAGATCAATTTATGTGAGTTACTCTCTGCATTAAACATATACCTCTATACTCTCTTACTGTATACAATTAATTAGGAGAAACATCTGAGACAGAACTTCTATTTAAAGCATAACTGAGATATCCTGAGCTTTAACACTTGCACCCCTGAGCACCCCAGAACCTCTGGGTTACGTCTCTGTCTGAGATGGCCTTCTCCGTTTGTGACTAATGCATATAGCACTACTCTCAGTTTCTCAAAGCTGTGAGAATGTTGTATAAGTTGCAAATATACAAAACAACAAACACCAGAAGGACCAAGCAGCCTGTCAATAATGCATTCAGAGCACTCTTTTTGTACTTTGAGGAATGCATGTAACTCTAACAATAGTTTGGAAAGTCTTTGTTTGTCAAAGGCAGTCGTGTAAAACCCTCTGGTCTGGTTCCACAGCACTAAATCTGCCACTCTGTGCTTATTCTGGACCTAATCTCACTTTAGCTCTACCTATATGCTCTTATGTCTGCAATGGAGAGGGCTTCCTATGTCATTCAATCCCAGGACCTTGACACATATAATCCACAGTAATTGATTTCCATTTTTGTGTGTGTGTGTGTGTGTGTGTGTGTGTGTGTCAGCCCCATCTGAGTTTGTACTCAATGGCTTCTCTGTAAACACACTATTACACAGATTAACGTTCGCAATCAAACAAAGGAAGTAGTTACATGTTTGTCTGAACATCAACACAGTCACAAACAGATTACGATCTTGGCCTACCGACAGCCCCATACACACACACACACACACACACACACACACACACGTTTAAAACCCCATTTATTTACAGTTGTGTGGTTTTGATGAAATTGGTGGCTGTATTTTGTTCTGACAGGAGACTGAAATGGCATACAGGAGAACAAAAGTGTTTTTGGAGGCAGCACGGAAGAATCAGTGACAGATTAAAGACTTAATCCTCTTGAGTATCTGTGGGTCTGACACTACACGTCAGGATGAATTCCTCTCAACACTGCGCAAGACAATAGAGGTAGAATCAACAGCACAGATATAGACCTCATGTTTTCAAGACAGGGCTACACACACAAAACTCACAGCTTTCTATGTAAATTTATTCATGAAATAGCTATAAGCAAAAGTGCCTGTCAAATTACATTAGAATATTGCAAAGATGAGACCAAAGATGAAAATGTACTTGCTCGTTTTGAAAATGTCAATAACTGAAACAAAATATCTATGGAGAAATTTTGACAGAAATTATTTCTAATAGCTTTCAGGAATATTCTGATCGCAATTTCATATTCATTTTTTTCCTTGCTTTATTTTGATTTGCTCCACATTAACTGATTGTATCAGACAATTACAGATACAGTGGGTACGGAAAGTATTCAGACCCCCTTCAATCGATAGCTCAGTTTGGCCGGATGGCCAGCTCTAGGAAGGGTTCTGGTCGTCCCAAACGTCTTCTATTTAAGGATTATGGAGGCCACTGTGCTCTTAGGAACCTTAAGTGCAGCAGAAATTTTTTTGTAACCTTGGCCAGATCTGTGCCTTGCCACAATTCTGTCTCTGAGCTCTTCAGGCAGTTCCTTTGACCTCATGATTCTCATTTGCTCTGACATGCACTGTGAGCTGTAAGGTCTTATATAGACAGGTGTGTGGCTTTCCTAATCAAGTCCAATCAGTATAATCAAACACAGCTGGACTCAAATGAAGGTGTAGAACCATCTCAAGGATGATCAGAAGAAATGGACAGCACCTGAGTTAAATATATGAGTGTCACAGCAAAGGGTCTGAATACTTAGGACCATGTGATATTTCAGTTTTTCTTTTTTAATAAATCTGCAAAAATGTCAACAATTCTGTGTTTTTCTGTCAATATGGGGTGCTGTGTGTACATTAATGAGGAAAAAAAATTAACTGAAATGATTTTAGCAAATGGCTGCAATATAACAAAGAGTGAAAAATTGAAGGGGGTCTGAATACTTTCCGTACCCACTGTATAATTCATTAATATCATTAGGTATATAAATATATCACCAAATTTGTATTATTTTTATTGTTTTAATAAAAAGGTCCATGCCACAAAAGAATCAGAACAAAGTTACTTCCAAGCAGGACAATTGCAATAGTGGATCCATCATTATGATGCAATTTACACATGGACAGCATTCTACATGAAGTAAAACCAAAAGAAAGGAGAACAATGAAATAATAACAGGAGTACACGCAGTGTAAGCAAAAACAGCAGCCATAAAAATAAATAAATAATAATAACAGTAATGATGATAAGTGAATACATTATATATTAATTAGGAACAGTGCACAGTAGGACAGTCATTATTTCAAAATAAACCTGTTTAAAGTTGTACAAGACCTCTTGGCTATTCCTAACAAATTGCTGAAAAACTTCAGCCATCTTATGATGGTTTGCTGGTCTGTCGGCTGGTTTTATAAGGATTTTGAGAGCTTTTCAGCTGGTTAGGATGGGGTACCAGTTTGCTGGCCCTCTAAACCAGTAACAGCTTGGCAAGACTTGTGAGACAAGCTTAGACCAGTTTAAACCAGCAAACCATGGTATACCAGCAAGGTATAAACCACAATTACACAGATCTAACAAATGAAGAGCCGCACGTGATTTTACTTGTGGTCACTATGGTCTTAGTACAAAACCCACAGGTAAACTACTGGTGAGAACTAGCCTATGTGTGGTAAATAACTGAATAACAATAAACCGGACCACAAA